AAATAATCCTAAAATTTGTATGGAGCCAGAAGCAATTTTGGGTAACAAGAGAAAAGCAGGAGGCATAGCAATACTGACTTTAAGCTATACTACAAAGCACTAGTAATAAAAATGGAATGGTAAAAAAAAGCGGGGGGGGGGATGATCTTGGAACAAAAATAGATATGCAGATCAATGGAAGAGAACTGAGGATGCAGAAACTTCCCTACACACATTCAGCTATCTGATCTTTGACAAAGGGACCCAAAACATATGTTGGAGAAAAGATAGCCTATTCAACAAATCAACAAATGGTGCTGGGAAAACCAGTTATCTGTTTACAGAAGATTAAAACTGGACCCTTATCTCTCACCATTTACCAAATTGAAAAAAAATGGATCAAAGATCTAAACATTAAAACAGAAATATTAAACCTACTGGAAGACAAAATAGATAAAACAAAGATATAGGTGTAGGAAAAGATTTTCTAAACAGAACCTCAATTGCACAAGAAATAACAGCAAGAATCCACAAATGGGATTATATCAGACTATAAAGCTCTGTACAGCAAAAGAATCAGTCAGTAGAGTGAAGAGACAACCTACAGGATGGGCAAAAAATGTTTCCACCTATTCCTCAGACAGAGACTAATATCTAGAATATACAAAGAACTCCAAAAAATTAAGCTACCTAAAATTAAAGACCAGGACAAGAGAAATGAACAGACACATCACGGAGGAAGAAATATAAATGGTCAACAAGTATATGAAAAAATGCTCAACATCTCTGCCTATTAGAGAAATGGAAAATAAAACAATGCTAAGATTCCATCTTACTTCAGATAGAATGGCAGTCCTTAAGAAATCAAACAATAACAAATGTTGGCAAGGTTGTGGTGAAAAAAGGAACCCTTTTCCCTTCATTGTTGGTGGGAATGTAAACTAGTACAACCATTATGGAAATCAGTATGGAGATTTCTCAAAGAACTGAAATTAGAAATTCCATATGTCCAGCAATCCCCCGCCAGGTATCTTTCCCAAAGAACTTAAGACAACATGCTACAGCGATACATGCAATGTTTATAGCAGCCCATTTTTTACGAAAAGCTAAATCCTGGAAACCGCCTATATACCCATCAACTTGATAAAGAAAATGTGATATCTAAATATAATACTGTGCTATAGAGCATGACAGATTTGTGACGTTGTAGGAAAATTGATGCACCTGGAAAATATACTGTTGAATGAAATAAACCAGACACATATGTTTAAATACCATTTGAGTGAGGCAAAGTACAAACAGAGTTATAAAGGATGGATAGGAGACCACAAGATGGATCTCTTGCAATAGGGAAGTGGTCCAAGTGATCCAAGGGAGGTGAGGAGGAGGGGAAGGAGAAATAAGTAGAATAAATATATGCCATGTACAGGAACCTAACAATCTTAATTAGTGAAAACATATATGATACAACATATAATATCCACAAGAATGAACAAATGGGATCAGGGAATTGGAGGAGGGAGGCAGGGAGAGGGACAGGGAAGGGGGTTAAAAAAAGAAAGAAAGAAGTTGTGCAATGTATATGTAACCACTCCCCAAGATAATTGTAAACTGCAAACATGTACTAATAAAAAAAGTAATCTGATATCAATAATGGAAAGAGGGGAGGATGTCATAGAAGAGCAGAGTTTTCTATGTTATTGAAATGATGTTGGTATAAATTTAATTCAATTGTTATAACTTCAGGATGTTAAATGTGATCCTTGTGGTAGCCACAAAGAAAATAGCTATAGAACGTACACAAACAAATTAAGAAGGGAGTCAAAACACTTCAGTAGAAAAAATCAACTGAACACAAAAGAAGGCAGTAATGTATGAAACAAGGGAATCGATATTCATCGGGCATATAGAAAACTAAAATGAAGATGTTAGAAGTAACATTCTCCTTATCAGTAGTTACTTTAAATGTAAATGCATTATATTCTCCAATCAAGACAGGGATTGCCAGAATGAATTTTTTATAAAATATAAACTATCTATGTAGACCTAGTGACAAAAATAGGTTGAAAGTGAAATATGGACATGAGCTAAATTAAACCTCTCCTCCTTTAAAACAAATAGACTATGGAAAAAAGATAGTATACACAAATAATAAAAAGAGAGCTGGTTTAGCTATACTGTTGCCCATCCACAAATATAGCCAACTACAGTTTTATGTACTATTTAGTTAGGCCTGTAATGCTTGTGTCTGTACTGAATTTGTCCCGACTTTTTTTCTCATCATTATTCCATAAGCAATACAATGTAACAGCTATTTACATAGCATTTAGCTTGTATTAGGTATTTATAAATAATCTACAAGTGATTTAAAGTATACAGGAGGATGTACGTAGCAAATACCATGCTATGCTGTATAAGGAACTGGAGCATGCATGGATTTTGGTATCTACAAGGAGTCCTAGAAACAATCCCCCCATGGATACTGAAAGATGGTTATACTAATATCAGACAAAGTAGACCTCAAACCCAAAATATTACAAAGAAAAAGAAGTACATTATAATAAGAGGCTCACTACCACAAGAAGATATAGCAATTATAAACACACACTAACAGAAACTCTAAATATCCTCTGTACACTTCCTATTCATGCCTTCCCCCATATCAAGAATCAGCAAATGGGATTATATCAAATTTTAAAAACTTGTACACAATAAAGAAAACAACCTAGAGAGTGAAAAGAACCTACAGAATGGGAAAAAATTATTTGCCAGCTACTCCTTGGACACCAAACTAATATCTAGAATATGTAAAGAACTCAAAAAACTTAGCCCTTCCACATAAAAAACTCAATTTAAAAAATGGGCAACTTAAATACATTTACCCTTCTCAGATGAAGAAGTACAAACAGCCATGAATACATGAAAAAAATACTCAATATCTGTGGACATTAGAGAAATGCGAATTAAAATGCTTTTCTGTCTCCTGACCCTTGTGGGATCCCAGTTATACACACCCTTGGATATTGTCCCACAACTCATTTTTCTATTCTGGGTTTTAAAAAATATTTATTTTCAGTGTATTTTACTTTTTTTTTTTTTTTTTTGGTGCCGGGGATTGAACTCGGGTCCTTGTGCTTGTGAGGCAGCGGCAGAACCACTGAGCTAAATCCCTGGCCAATTTTACTTTTTATAGTTTCTGTTGTTCTATCATCAAGATTCCCCATCCCCACCAGCTCCTTCCTGCATCATAAATTGCGGCTTAAATGCTAGCCACCTGAACTGCTCTTCATTTAGTACACCAAAGACCACTGGGCTTTATTTGGATCCCTTTTCTGTGCTGCAGCAAACTACTTCCACACAGTAGTAAAACACCTCATTTGTTTCTCAGGGACCGCAGTATTGGAATTCCTATTCTCTGATATTTGAAAAACAATTTTTAAATATTTTTGTTCAATTTTCTAATTGTTTAAGGGAGAAATGTAAGTTTAGTCCCCTTCTCCTTCTGTCTTAGTGGATGAAGATGTGATGCTTCAATATCTACTTACAATATTCAATTAAGTTACAAATATTTAAATTACACATTGAATAGATTATTTTAGAATACTGTTGTTTCCCACTCTAATTTATATGATGTGATTCTATTCAAGCTCCTGTACACATCTTTGACTTTAGGGCTTTTGTCACTGTTGCAAACTCTTAGTTGTCCTAAAGTATCATCTTTATGCCACCAAGGTTGTTTGAGATAAAGTATTATTTAACTTTTTATGTATGTTGCTATCATTGGAAATTTTATTCAGCTACAAGCATACCTTCACATCGTAGGAAACAGCTAGATGTCCCTTATCTTTTTTTTTAAATTTGGCAATCTCCATATATAAAACACTTCCTGGGTGGCTTTTTAAGAGACTTTTTAAGGCTTGTTTATAACACAACCAACAACTTTAACGGGATGTATCACAACTCCAGAAATAATTACTATATACTATACCTGTTCAATTTATCTTTTTTTAAACACCCATTCCATTGTATGAATACTATAATCATCCAAAAATTAGCATTTCAAGGTCATTTTAGAGTAAGGTTGTGAGATAAAATAGGTGTACCTTTAAATTCGAATTACAGATAAATGACAATTTTTAGAGTAATAATATTTCAAATATTGCATGGATATTCTTATATTTAAAAATGTTTATTGGAAATTCAGGTTTTTTGTGTTTTGTTTTGTTTCGTTTTGTTTTGTTTGAGACAGGGTCTTGCTATGTAGTTCAAGCTGGCCTTGAACCAATGGTGACCCTCCTGCCTCAACTCTGGAGCACTTAGATTACAGGCATGCCCCACCACACCCAGCCAAATCCTGTATTTTTAGTTGGTGAACCTGGCAGCCCTATTTTAGACCATTGTATCTACCTCAACCAAACTTTATAAGATGTTGCTTATTTGCAACATTTTGAGTAATGATACTGAGAACCTCACTTTATATGAAGGCATAAGCAGTGATTTCCACCATCACTTTTTTTTTCCTAAGAATGTAATACACTCTTAAATATATTGCCAAGTATTTCCCCCTAGTGAGAGGTAGAAATCAATCCAGACCAAAATACAATCAGCCTTGTGGGTTTCTCAATCACAGATTCAACCAACTGAGTATTTTTTTAAATTGCTTCTGTACTGATTATGTGACTTCTTTCCTGCTATTCCTGAACAATACAATACATGGCATTTACCTTGTATTAGGTATTATAAGAGATCTAGAGATTATTTATAGTATATGAGAGGATGTGCATAAGTTCTATATAAATACTACTCATTTTATGTAAGGAACTTGAGCATTCACAGATTTAGGTATCTGTGGGAGTCCTGGAGCCAATATCCTCCTATACCAAGGATGAACTATATTAAGAAGACATGGTTGACAATTCTCTGAATACACCAGGACACAAACTAAAATTAAAATATTATGCTGTTCATTAACATGGGTTTGGATTGGATAAGAATGCTTGGTTTTCTTTTCATGTTTTCAGATTTACTTTCCTGGATCTTTTGGCATACAGGGCAAATGTCATCTTTATCACAGCCATCCTGACTACACGGATTGCAGGTACTGTATTTCCTCAGTCACACTTGCCAGGGAGGCCATTTAAATGGCAAATTATAATATCTATGAAGAAATGTTCCTTTCCCTTTAATCCTGTTGGTTGTTTTTTTTTAAAAAGTAAGTCTTAAGGACTGAATTTCTTCATAAAACTAGACATGTTTTCTTCATTTATTTTTAGACATCATAACTTGCATGCTTTCATTTCTCCTTCTATATTATTTAGAAAGAATAATTCAATTTTCCCAGTAGTTTAGAATCCTGGTGAGGTGTCAGATCTTTATTAACTTAACTTGTTCTGTCATTTTATTAAATTAAGAAAAAAAAATATCCACTTGCCACTTTGGATCCTGGTTTAGAGTCTATGAAAAACTGCTCAGTTTTTTTGTGGCTCCTGATTCTCCTTAGATAATATCAAATTGTACCCCACTTGATTCATTTCCTGTGATTCACAAAATCATTTTTGTTCTGTCCCTAAGGATACAAATTGGAAGTAAAGTGATAAAACTTGGAAGTAATGCAATAAAACCTCCCTGGGAAGCATGAGAATCTTGGATTAAGCAGCTGGTAAGTTTAAGATCTTGCCCAGATGTGTTGAAAAAATCCTCTGCACACAATAAAAAAAAATAGCCACTGCCTTCTTTAATTCAGTGGAGTTTTTTCTTTCTTTCTTTTTTGACAGAAAAGCAGCTATCTTATTGGCAAATAACAGCATCTGTTCTGAGGAAAATTAGAACTCAGTGGCTTTGAAGCTGAGGCAACAGAGAGGTGCAGCACTTCTTCACACCCTGGCTTAGAAGGAAGTTCTTCAACACATTTCTGTCCTTAGAGCCCAGCTCTGCTTTCCTTTTCAGTGCCGTCCTTTCTGGGGCCAGACAAGTCCCTGCAGGACCAGTGGCCCAGCACTGACACTGACCAGAGCCTCATTGCCTAGCTTCCCAGCTTCTCTGCATTGAATATTCATCTTCAAAGGCAAGAATTTTTCCTGGGTGCTGAGCCAAGGAGTTTTAAAGAAAAAACATTTAAAGATGATTTTAACAAATGACATTTCCTTAGGCTTTTAAAATTTGTTTTCTTGTGGACTTTCTTTTCCCATTTTTAAAGCCAGGCTCTCCTGGAGCCATGATGTTTACAGCATTCTCTCTCATGTACTATCTGCCAAACCAACCTGAGAAGATGCCTGAAAGTCTTTCCTTTATAACTTGATTTCTTTTAGGGTATTTTATATTGATTGATGATGTGTGATTTAGAGTCAGATGGCATATGGCCATTAGTTCCTTGTTAGGCTAGGAATGTTCTGAAAGAGGGAAAACAGGACTGTGTTCTGATCTACCCTGGTCTCAGAGTGGCGTTAGAACAAATCAGTCCTGGGGCTGGGGATTTAGCTCAGTGGTTTCGCCGCCTGCAGTGCAAGCGCAAGGACCCGAGTTTGATCCCCAGCACCAAAAAGAAAAGAAAAGAAAAGAAAAGAGCAAATCAGTCCTGTTCTCCACATCTCAGTTTTTCTCTCATGAAGCAAGGGTAGGGGTAGGGGTGGGGGGTGGGGGGCGGTTAAGAGAATATCAACTGCTGGGAGGTAACTTCCAGAGCTAAATTTGGCATCTTTACAGACCACCTGTACCCATCACTGTGGGTGAACTGAGCCTTTGAGAAGGTTTAGGTTGGAGCCCATAACACCACACTTTATACTATTATCAATCCATCACTCTGTGAGCTTCCTGGGGGCATGAACTCAGGTGTATTTAAGTCCCTGGTGGCACCAGGCACAGTGGCTGGCAGAGAGGGTTCACTTCATGGTTAAGCCAGTTAAATAAATTAATCTAGAAGCAGGATGCTTAAAGCTGTAATTTCTCATTGCCTTTTTTTTTAACCAAAAGTGAGCAGAGCTCAAGAGGAAGAATGGTAAGCAGTAGGAAAAAGAATATCTTATGATTACTTCAAATAGATTTTTATTGCTTTTTCTCTTCCCAGAGGAAGTTCCTTACCCATTTCAATTTTTGATGTCTAAAAGTATTGAACATTTCTAAGCCCAGTGAAGCATTTGCCCAAACATCATCCAAACATAATTAATCAGGAAAACAACTTCCCTTATTTCTGTCCCTTTGCATAGCTGTGCACTACACAGGTGCTCAGAGTAGTTGACCACATTTACCCCCACAGCCCCCCGTGTTATGAGAGTCCTTGGTTTGAATGGAAATTAAACACAAGACCAAATCTGTGCTTTGTATAATAAACCTAAATACTCTGAGAATGCTAGAGACCAGTATCACTTTTGTCCTTCATTCTTTCACTTTTCCAGTGTTGTTTACTAGATGCCAACAGTGCCCTAGTCTTTCTGGGCATCAAGAGTAAGATACCTACTAGCCTAACACCCTCATTCCTTGTCTCTAGTCCCAACTCTTGTCTCCTTAAACTATGACAGTGCCTAACACTGTATACATATCCAATAAGTCCTACAAAGATCAAGGATGAGCCCCTGGCATTTACAAAGTGACTAATCTATCCTAGGCTACATCTCACCCTCTCTTTTTATTCCCACAGCAATCCTAGACTATGATGAATATTCCCATTTTCCAGATGAGAAACTTGGTGTGTAATATGTGCAACTCTCAGGCAGAGCTAGGATTTAGATTGGGCTCATCTGCCTCTGGGCTGCACATCTTCACCTTCACAGGGAGTTGAACATGTACATTCCATCAAGTCCATGAAGGGACAAATGAGGCAAAAGTGGGAGCAGCAGACTTGAGAAGAAGCTGGTTTTGAGGATGAAGGAGCAGAGTAGCCACCAGAAGTTGGAGCATTGGCATCGGCCCACATCCTGCCCCACCCCTGGTTACACAAGCAAGTAAATGTCCTTACTCTGAACCATTTCAATTGACACTTGGCTATTTGCAACAGAAAGCACCAGGCAAGCTGGGCCTGGGTGCCTTTACCCACTACTACCTCTTCTGTTTACTAATTATTTACAAATTGCTTTTCTCCAGGATAATATTCTTTAATGAAATTTGAATTGATATTACCACACACCAGATGGAAATTAAACTATCAGTATATGGACTTTCTGATTATTAAAAGTATATCCACATGCCCTTTTTCATATTTGTTTCATTTTTTAACTTCTGTGTTTATTTCATTCCCTTAAGAGTTTATGAAAGGGGCTGGGGATTTTAGCTTAGTGGTTCCGCCGCCTGCCTCACAAGTGCAAGGTCCCAAATTTGATCCCCAGTACCAAAAAAAGAGGTTATGAAAGTCTCCCACTCAGCATGGGAACAGAAGTATCATTTATTTCTTGGTACATTTCAAGCATACTCTGTTTGCAAAGCCCTCTTAATGCTTATTTTTGAGCTCATTTATTTATTTAGGAGCTGCACAATCCCACCCTTGTCCTTGTGGTGGAAAAGAGATTCTGCCACATTCAGATAGCAATGACTGGTTTAGAAATGTTTTTCTCAGTCCAAGCCAAATGTCTCTTCTGCATCCTTCATTATGTCTAAATGATGCTCTTATCCTTAAACAGAACTCACTTTATCAGTCCACCAGGAAGCATTTGATTTATTCACCAGCCCCCCGGGCGGGAGGAACCAGAAGTCTATAGGGTAATCACACAGCCAGGTGAGCCCCCACTGAGCTGTAGCTTGGGAGAAAATAGTTTGAAATGCTGAAAGGGTTTGGTGTCATGCCAGCCTATTCACTAGGGACCTGCTGAGCCTGCCTGGGACATAAGATGAGCAGGAATGAAAGGGCTCAAAATCCTTCCAGAAGGGGACTCTGGAGGAGTTCTCATTGTCCTGACTACATGGGACAGTTACACAGGAACAGTGCCCATGGCACATAGGACCTGGAAAAGAGACCTGGGCATGTGCAAGTGTTCACAGTCCTCAGGCTTTGGCATCCATTGTGGTTTGTTGCCCTACTGAGTGGCTTACATGATTAGTTTAAGGGACAAACACAGCCAACAAACAGGGTAACAACACAAGGTGTCTGCAGGGAAGACAGGCACAGCTGTGAGGCTAGAGTCTGACACCACTGATCTTAAAGTGGTGGTCATTTACTGAGACCCCCCCTGTGTGCCAGACAGTGTGTTAGTCTCCAGGAGTGTAGAGAGAATAAATGTACATGTTTGTTAGGCAGGTGGGAGTGAGTGGGCTATGCTGCAAGTCTAGTGATAGTTTAAGTATGCTGTCTTAGTGTGTTTTGTGTTACTCTAAAAACACCAAGGCTGGATACTTTATAAACAAAAGAGGTTTATTTGGCTTGTGGTTCTGGAGATCTAAGAGCATGGTGCCAGCATCCTGGTGAGGGCTCCCATGCTGCATCATAGCAGAGCAGAGAAATAGGAAGAAAGATGGTCACAAGTGGGAGGACATATGTATGAACAAAGAAGCAAGAGTCCAGGCAGGGGCCAGGCTCGCTTTTTCTCAAACAGCCCTCTCTCTCATGAAAACTAGTCCATTCTTGCCAGACGTGACCCACTCCTCCAGGAGAGCAGCATTAATCCATTTGTGAGAGTGAAGCTTCCCTAACCTAATCACCTCCCACTAGGCTCCACCTCTTAAAAGTTGAACTACCACCAGGTGTGGTGGTGCATGTCTGTAATCTCAACACTTGGAAGGCTGAGGCAGAAGGATCACCTTGAGTATGAGGCTATACAAGGTAACACTGAACTAAATAGTGAGACCCTATCTCAATTCTCCCAAAATTTGCACTACTTCCACATCACATTGGAGACCTCACACACGAACCTTGGGGGACACACCACATGCACACCATGTTACATGCTCAGCTAGCTTCTTAAGAGCATGCTGCTCTAACTCCTTTCCTAATTCAAAGATAGTCTTTCCTGTTCCTTCAAAACAAACACTTGGAGTTCAAGAAACAGGGCTAGGCTTGGAGTAGCTGGATTTAGCTTCAGAGAGTTCTTAGAAAAGGTTTACAGGTAGGACCAGAGCCAATACCATCTCCTGAAGAGTAACAGGGCAGCCAGAGACACCCATAACTCCCCTCAGTTCCAACTCTACTCTCCAGTTTGCTCCACTTTAATCTCTGCCACTCACCAATATGTGAACTATGAAGTTGGTTGAGTCCACAGGGTCTACACAGCCTCTGTGGAGGAAGGACTGTGGAATTTTCTGGATGAATTAGACATTCCTTGGGACAGTGGTGAGGAAGGAAGTAGTCCCCAGAAAGGATGGATAGCAAGCCCTGCAGACAGGCCAGGCTCTGTTTTCTGCATATGCCTCCAAGTATGCAGAAGTCACACTCAGTCCCAGAGAAAAATGACAAGAAGGAAAGTATTCATTGCAAAGCATTAAAACTGTGTCCCATTCCTGGACCACACACCTACAAGTGCTACAGGAATTAATATGCTTTTCTGAATGCAGTAATTATTTTATGACAGGCACAATTGTATTGTATCTGTGCAGGTGTGATAAATATGTTAAAGTGTTAAACTGTGAACATTTAAAATATGTCAATGTTTTTGTAATTGTTTTTTGGCATTTTTTCATATATTGGATGATTTTTATAAAAAATGAGTTATAGCCCCAGCATTTTCCAACCTCAGAGAGATCTTGCCTGGCCTGCTGTCAGGCATGCAGGTGAAGGGAATTTATTTCTCAATCCATGGCCCCAAGCCAATTATTTGAGTTTAGGAGATTAAAAAGAAGAAAGACAAAGAAGTAAAAAAGCTTGCTTAAAGGAATAATAGGAAACTTCCCAAAATCTGGGAAGCAAGATAAATATCTACATAGTAGTGCCAAAATATTCACAATCAAAATCAAATCAAACAAGACTGCATAGGACCAGGGGTTAAGCTTAGTGGCACCATGCCTGCCTTGCAAGCCTCAGGTCCTGAGTTTGATCCTTGGTACCAAATTAAAGAAAAAAAAGACTGCATCAATACATATTGTCCCAAACTGTCAAAAATCAAAAATAAAGAGAAGATTGTGAAATCAGCAAAAGATGCAAGTCACATATAAGGGAATATCATAAACTAGTTGTGAACTTCTCAGGAAACATCTCACTGACCAAAAGGGAGTGAAAAGATATATTCAAAGTGCTGCATAAACAAAACATGCCAACCAAGAATACTATACCTGAAGCACAAGGACCCAAGTTCAATCCCCGGTACCAAAAAAAAAAAAAGAATATTATACCTGGTAAAACTGTCCTTCATAAATGTAAGAGAGATAAAGATTTTTTCAGATAAAATCTGAAGGCTTCATCACTGCTAGACTTGTCTAAAAAGAAATGCTAAAAGGGGTTCTTCAAGCTGCAAGGAAAGGATGCTAATGAGTAACACAAAAACATGTAAAAGGATAAACTCACTGGTAAGCTAGTGTGATGGTGAATGCTTGTAATCTGAGCACTTAGAAGATTGAGACAGAAGGATTGCTGTGAAATTAAGGCCAGCTTTGGCTATAAAGTGAGTTTAAGGCCAACCTGAACTACAAGTGGGAACCTGTCTCAAAAAAAGAAACAAACCTCACAGGTAAAATTAAGCTCACACTCAAATTCAGAATACCCCAATACTATAAAAATAATATATAAATCATTATGTCTTCAGTATGAAGATTAAAAGAGAAAACTATTAATAATAGCTACAATAATTTGCTAAGGGATACACAATACAAAAAGTTGGAAATTGTGACATCAAAAACATAAAATGGAGGTAGTTTTTATGGAAAATCTAGTTGTTATCATTTTAGAAAAACCTGTTATACCTATAAAGTTTTTTAAGCTTCATAGTAACACAAAGACCTGTAGTAGATACATAAAAGATGAAAAAGTGAGAACTAAAGCATGCCACTACAGAAAATCATCTAATCGGCAGAGGAGTTGAACCTTCCGGGCCACTGTACCACCACCCTGAGCAATGAGGAGCAGAGCAGTCCCAAGCACAGAGGAAGTGAACCTTCAAGGCCACCATGCCACTGTGCCCAGCACCGAGGTGAGCCGCACAGGTGCCAACACCACACACCCATTCCCCCCCCTTGAAATGAGAAGACAAACAACTCTCAAAACCAGACTTCCAGATCGCCTAAAGCAACCCCAAAGGGAAATGAGATGGAACAATTTGATACTCAACCACCTGGACTCCCTGAACTGGCAATAAAAGAGGATCTGAAAAAAATGAAATCAGAAATATTATCTCAGATAACATCAGAGATTGTGCCCATAGTGCAGGACATGATTAATAAATCTAGAGAAGACACAGATAAAAAAAAATACAGGAAGTGAAGAACATGATGGAATCCCAAAATAGGAAACAAATGGAATCCATAAAACAGATACAAACAGATTTCCAGGAGATCAAAAACCCTACTGAAAGTCTGCACAGCAGAAGGAGCCAATGTGAGGACAGAATTTCAAACATAGAAGATAAGATTGCAATTAGTGACCAGGAAAAGAAAAATTTCTTTAAAATAAGGGACCATGAGAAATCAATCCAGCAACTGCTAGATGATGCAAAGAAGAATAACATAAGACAGATTGGAGTCAATAAAGAAACAGGAGAGAGTGCAGATGACATTAAAAAAAGTGTTCATAGAAGTGATGACAGAAAACTTCCCAAGCAGTGGAAAAAGAACTTGACATACAGATAAGTGAGGCATATAGGACTCCAAATAGCCTTGATCAAAAAAATCTACACATAGGCATGTAATAGTTAAGATTCCAGAAACCCAACAGAAGAACAAAATTCTGTAAGCAGTTAGAGAAAAGAAACCAATCACATACAAAGGAAAGCCCATCAGAATCACAGAAGACTTTTCAATCCAAGCCCTCAAGGCAAGAAGAGCTTGGAGTGACATTTCAAGCCCTAAAGGAAAATAGCCTCCAACCCAGATTGATGTCCCCTGCAAAACTATCCTTCAAAATTGATGGGGAAATAAGATATTTTCACGACAAAGAGCACCTTAGGAACTTCATGAATGCCAAACCAGCACTCAAAAAAATTTTAGACAATATCCTAGGAAAAGTCAATGAGGATCTCAACCCCAGGAAGCCCAACAGAATGAATCCACTGGGCATGACAAGAAATTAAACACAAAGGGGGAGAATCCAACAAAAAGAAAAAGTCATGAC